AACCAGTTTGTCTGAATTCAGATGACATCACTAAAGCAGTCAGACACAGTTTAAGTGATTTTATTAAAAAAACAAACCCCAAAACAAAACAAAAACAAGCTGCTTTGATTTTTAATGTTGAATTAGAAGAACTACAACAGTCACCCACTGCCAACTGATCCCAACAGTCCTGTGAAGGTGTGCTGCGTCTCACTTGGTAGAACTCTGACTGCAGCAGCAGACATACCAGTGCGCGCTTTTCAAAATGCAGTGACTCCAAAACATAAAGCTGGACTCTGATTACAAGACCTGTAGGTCAGCTCTTTCCTGTCATTTTCTCCACAAAGTCAGTTTGGTTTAACCGCCTCATTTACTTAACAGTAATCACATAGGAGCTGTAACCGAAAGAGGTGGTGCTGGTGTAGTCTTTTATGGTCGCAGGGGTTTCAACCTGCTAAAATCGGAGCCTAATTAAGTGTCAGAATCATGTCAAAGTTAACACAAAGCACTGAGATTAAGCCCAAAGGAGGCTCTGTGGATTATTATAACCGAGCTACTCATGGTGCAGAGCATAGGGCTGGAACACAGTAAGAGAAAACGAAAAATAGATCAGCTCTACGTGCAGCAGAAATCTGGAACTGGTCAGACTGAACTAATTCACAGCAACAGAGTGAGAGGAAGAAGAAGCTGCTGTTACTGAATGCACTACATCTGCTGGGTGGAGTTTCCATTCCAAGTGTTGTTGTCATCCTCACTGTCCTCCTGAGTCCTGAGCCTACAGACTTTACCATCTTTCTTGAATTCCTTGGGACGGTTCTCCAACGTGTGTTTGGAGAGATTTCCCCTGAAACGGAAAATAACAGGACAGTAAGCCAGTTACCACATTCAGAACATAAACTCTCCAAATCAAGAAAAAGAAACAATACATCTGATGTCTAAAAATGTCATTATATTAAGGCCATCACACATCGTGAAAATGCAACATTTAGAATTTTCCCGATCCAAACTTGAAAATTAGAAAGAAAAAGGAAGTCGACATCAAGCGATAATGAGTTGGTCTTGATGTTTTTAGACAAGAAAAGAAAAAAACAGATTCTGGGTAATCGATTCCCAACAGGAGGCTTCAGCAGGAACATCGTGGAAGCTTTTGTACATATTTCAGTCCAAATCTGAGGAGGCAGAGAAGTAATTTCAGGGAGCTGACTGACCCGGAGCAGCATGTAACTCTGTCTGACTTAAAACTATTTGTATATTCAGTAGCAGCGCATGTTTTGTGCTACCCGCACACTTGTTGTCAAATGCAGTGGTCTGATTGGTCAGATCAGAAATATTGTGGAAAAAAGCTTGGGTCACAAAAGAAACACTGCAAATATGTCTACTGACATTAAGCGCTCGATATGAAAGACTGCGTTAGGAACAGTTGAGTACAAAAAATATTTTTAAAAATAGGAAATATCTGCACAAATTTTACACACAGGTGTAAAGGCCTTTAATGTGAATTTCTGCAAGAAAAAAAAAATACAGAAAATCAGGGATTCAATGTTAGCCCTAAGAAGAACCTCATTAAAGTTGCATTATATGCGCATTAATGATGTGTGCTTCTACATGTGTGGAGACTGCAAAATGGCCCTCACCTCTTTGCCTTGTTTGAGGCTGATGAGCTGTTGTAAGAGCTGGACTGTTGAGCGGGACCCCTGGGCTGGACAGATGCTGCAGAGGGGGGTGGTGTTGCAAACACAAAGGAACTGAGAAATCTCCATACAGCCAGCAGAGGGTAGAGGAGTGTACCCAGAACTGCCCAAATGCCACCACCAGAGGACTGGACCACTGTGTTTGCAGGCCTGCCTGA